ATGATTGACTATAATTATGTTGTATATCAGACTGTATATACACTTTATTGTGATTTTTATATTTTTATGCCCAGTTAGCAATGTACTTTGTGTAGCAATGAATACTAATCTCAGATATCTATGACATCTGTAGGGTGTATTCTCCGCTACAGATGTCATAATCTATTTATAACCAATTGCTTTTACTCTTTCATAATGTCATATTTCAATAAGAATCACATTATGGAAAACAGTCTAATACATACACATAAGAGGAACCATTAAACTTTTAGTACAACCAACTATATTACATTTGTTTTTTTATTTTAGATGAACTTTCTTACTTCGGTTGGAGGAGATGAGAAACAACTTACAGCGGCAATCTTAATACAGCTAATGGCCAAAGAAGTATGATTTTCATACGCTGTGTATGGAATGAAACAAAAACGTCCTGCAAGGTCGTTATAGGTAAAGCACAATTTTTGTATTCTACATCCCATTTCCTTTTAATAAATAAATATTTTAATAAAAGCTAATTACTTTACAATATTTATACATGAAAAGTTATATATTTCAAAATTATATTGTGATGATATTTAAAAAACATTTTGTAGAGTTGCATTTAGTCTTTTATGGTTGTATTCGTTCATTTCGAAATCGCTACTGACAAAAGTATTAAAGAAAAAATTGTCAGCTTTCTGGCGACGGCCATTAATAGAGATTACAGAAAAAAAATAGAACCGTAACTGAGCTACGCCCAATATTGAGCAATGAAATAAGTATCGCCAATATAATGAAAGTTGATGCCCACTATCTTATAGTGAGAGTATAATACAGTTTTATATATATATATATATATATATATATATATAAAATATTTTTTGTACGTGTATTTAAATAACATTGATTTTATTTTGTTAAATTTTGGTTTTGGAAAACTCTATACCTCTTTTTTTCATTTGTATCTGTTTCATATAACTTCAAATAAATTTAATGATTTTGATTTTTTTTTTCTTAAAGCGTGTTCTATGATTATTGTCATCTCCTAGATTCTAACCTGTTTAACTCAAAAGAATAATGCAGCCTAGTACTATAGTATCACTTAAACAAGAAAACTGTTAGTAATTTTAATTATTACAAATTTGTAGAAGGCAATATTTTTTATTATTTTTTAATAATAAAAATTTAATCGAAAATACTCAATATATTGCCTTAATTTAGTTATATATATTGTAAACTATATTAGACCAATATTGGCCAGTATAATATCCCCATTATTGGCGCAATATTATTTTCAATATTGGCGCAATATTATAAACTATATGGGGCCAATGTTGCAGTGTGAACATTTTGCCAATATTGGCCAATATTGACTTTACAATATTGGCGCAATATTGTAGCGCCAATATTGGACAATATTGGCAAAATGTTCACATTGCAACATTGGCCTGATATAGTTTACAATATTGCGCCAATATTGTAAACAATATTGCCCCAATATTGTAAACAATATTGCCCCAATATTGTAAACAATATTGTTTGCTACTAGGGTAGTTATATATATTATATATATCAGGGTAGTCTTGTAAACTATATTACGCCAATATTGGCCGGTATTATATCCCCTTTATTGGCGCAATATTATTTACAATATTGGCACATTATTTTAAGCATTATTGCACCAATATTGCAATGTGAACATTTTGCCAATATTGGCCAATATTAACTTTACAGTATTGGCGCAATATTGTATTGCCAATATTGGCCAATATTGATTTTGCAATATTGGCGCAATGTTGTTGCACCAATATTGGCCAATATTGGCAAAATGTTTACATTGCAATATTGGCCCGATATAGTTTATAATATTGCGCCAATATTGTAAACAATATTGCCCCAATATTGCGCCAATATTGTTTGCTACTTGGGAAGTGTTAAATGAAAAAGTTTTGTTAAGTGATTTTCTACTAATTTATTATTACTAAAGGTTCAGAGTCCCCTCCTTAAAAACTTGTCAAAAGGGCGTTAAAATCTTAAAAACCTTCCATTACTAGATGTATTACTAAATATCTTTATATTTGGAAAAGTGACCCCTAAATTTGAAAAACGCCCCCCAAATCAAAAGGACCACTAAATTTAAAAAACGTCCCCAAATTTGCAGATCCTGCAAATTGTCTACTGTGGCTAGCCTCCATGCTTACAAACTATGCATAAAAATTTATGTAGCTTGGGGTAAAGATAATGTTTGTTGAGTTCTAAACTTTTAGTTATAAGTCTTTGAAATTTGCATCATAGAAGCAAATATAGTTCAAACAATAAATTGTTTTATTACAATAACACACATGGCAGATTAAAGTTTATTACAGTGTCTCAGAAATTTTGCATCTACGTTGATGACGTTTTTTAGAAGAAATAATATAATTTTTGCATAAGACCTTTCGTACACTTTGTTTGTGAAATCAATGTCTCATATTTTTTACTTTTAATAAGTGGCCCATTAGGTTTGTATTTTTCAATTAAATCATGGTAGTTACTAATCAACACCTTAATGAACCAGTAATTAATATTAGGCAATGTTGAGAAGGAAACAAACTTTTAGTTCATAAAATGCTTAAGAATCAGGTTGAGAACATGAAGTCAACAAGGATGGTACACTAAACCTGGAATAATTTTTTGTCAAACGCCTAATTACTCCAATTTTAGAATCTATGTTTACTGCGCACATATTACAACGGAAATTTTATTTAATAAATTAAATTCCAAAATAATATTGTGTAACATGTTATAAAATGTTAGAAACAGAGTTGCCTTACTCTAATTTTTTCAAAGATATTACCAAAGATTTAGACTTGCTCGAAATGCAAGTGCTATAATAATGTTGTTTGTATATGCTCTAACTTTAAAAATGTAAGCACCAGATTTCTTCAGAAGAATCTATATAAGAACGAATCAAGCTTAATTCATGCACAAGTGTTGTAGATGCTTTTTGGACTGCCGATCTGCAAATCAGTGTCTCACAAACATCAGTACTGAGTACAGCTTCTGCAATCTTTGCCGTACAACTTATTGAGTACCCTTTATTTTCAGATATCTTAGCTACCATTTTACTGGTGATCTTTGCACGTTTCAATGGGATTGTGTAATCATCACTTGTACTATTATCTTCTGAACTTTCACTACTAGAATTCTCGGTATCATCAAAAGATTGACTATGATTTGTTTCGAGTTCTTTTCTTTTAGGTGGCAGGTCTTGCGGATGTGTTGTAATAGGCTCTGTCACAATACTGCACTGACCTTTGCACCAATTGGAAGATTTCTGAAGTTCATAAAAGAGTTTGTCTTCCAGATTCTCTAATTTAGCATTTTTGGGCAATAAGTCAAATAATTTATCCCAGCTATTTATAGTAATTGTCTATTTATTTGTACTTTGTGAAGATTTGATAACAAATTTATAATTTTGAATAGCAGGCTTCACTTTTCTTTGCTCAGATTTTTCCATAAAACATGGTATCGTCATTTTATTCCATAATTGACAAACTTCAATTGAGATTTCTTTAATAACATCACCTGATCTTGGAATGTTACCCAATTTTATAAGATATAAAAAATAATATCTGCCTTGTCTTCTAAAATCTGTTCCTTCTTTAAAACAGTTTTTAACTTTTTTAATTGGAACTATGCCATTAAAGTTGTATTTTGGGTTAGCTCTTTCAATTGCGCTAGCTTTGTTACCAGGTTGGAAACAGTTTGAAATTCTGGTAGATGTATGACTAGGCAACAAATAGTATGTGATCGTATTTTTATATTGAAGCTGAATACTCACCACACAGCTTCTGGCACTAACCCTAGCCCCGTTGTCGATGTTGCTTAAGTTCTAGTGCGAGTTGTTGTCTACGCTGTTCAGGTGTTTCTTTTTCTTGTTGAATCATTTTTTTAATTGCGTTCAATAGCAAATCGTCTTTGCTTTCTGAAGTTGACAAATAAATATAATTCATAGTCATTATGTACTAGCTTAGCCAAAATATAAATATAAAGAAACTTCTGCAGAGAATACTAAATCAATTAACATCTGAAGGCGCTTATATATATATGTTTTTTGGTTTTTCTAGAAAGTTCTAAGGCCAAAAGTTTGAAAGTTCAAAAAGTTCTAGAAACTTTGAAAAGTTCTAGAAAGTTCTAACGCATTTACATTTTAAATTTGCTGCCTATTGTCATAAGCGTCCAAGCCTAAGGGTAGGACAGACAGACAGACAGCTCTGTTTTATTATATATATGTATATATATATACATATATATATATATATATATATATATATATATATATATATATATATATATATATATATATATATATATATTATATAAAAGTAAGTAGTAAGTTTTATGCTTTATTATGTGCGCAAACCACTGTGCTACGGCTGCTCAAAAATTAGGGTGTCTGTGGTTTGCAATCAAAAATATAATGGTTTATCTGCAGTTTGTCACCAGGCACCATATAACTGATACAAAAAAGTTATAAAATTGAGTAATTTCTTCTGCTGTGTGGCATATAATAAAAACGAGGATCTTCAATAAGAAATGTTTATCTAAGTAAAAAATAAACTAAAAGCTGTTTGAAGACCTGTTTCAATCCTAATACTGTTATCCATTTGAACTGTTATTCATTTATCAAACTACTTTAATTAATAATAATAGCTCTGTTATTTTAATTAATAATAGCTCTATTATTTTTAATAATAATAGCTCTATTATTTTTAACAATAATAGCTCTATTAGTTTTAATAATAATAGCTCTATTATTTTTAATAATAATAGCTCTATTATTTTTAATAATAATAGCTCTATTATTTTTAATATTAATAGTTCTATTCTTTTTAATAATAATAGCTCAATTATTTTTAATAATAATAGCTCTATTATTTTTAATAATAATAGATTTTCTTTTAATAACAGAGCTACTAAGATAGTGGTTAATTATAAATGATAAAAGTTTAAAATTTAATTAAAATTAAAAAACTTACTTTTAGCTTTGGAACTTTATTTATTACTTTCAATGGTCGTAATACTCGTAAAATACGCAGAACTTTAATAATTTGTGATTTAACCATAACTGGTTTTCCTGATTTTTGGTTTGCACTAAATAATAATAATAATAATAACTTTTATACTTTTTTTATGGCACAGTTACATTGTATACACTAAAAAGTATTCATAATAGCCAATAGGCTGAAATCTTACACCAAACATTTTTAATGCTCATTGAAACAGTTTGTATAAACTGTGTAATTGTTTATTATAGTTTATTGAATACTGTGAAGTTTACTATAGTAGAATATATATTTTCAAAGTTCAAGGTTTTCAAATAAACAACCTTTAAATTTAAAATCTGCATTTAAATTTGTATAATATAGATGTTAGGCCGGGTGAAAAATATGAGCAATTGCTTTTACTCAGTAATTGGTTAGCTTTACGTGAATAAAAACTTTTGCAGTTTTGTTTAAATTTTTATTCAGGTAAAGTTAAGCAATTTACTCAGTAATTGGTTAGCTTTATGTGAATAAAAATTTCAGCAATTTTGCTTCAGATTTATATTGTCTTTCCAAATTCTCAGGGAAAAAGTCCATTTGGAACACCAGAAAATGGAGCTTCAATGATATTTTAAATCCCAAAGCTTCATATAAGTAGAACAATTTTTGAACAAGATCGAAAAAAAACTTTACATATAGCTTGAAACGCTTTCCAAGCTATGTATTCTGACTAACTAGGTATATGGAATATCATATGGAACATCACCATCATTACTGCTTTTGTTACAGTTGATGTCAGGTAATGAACTGGGGCTGGATGTTAGTAGTACTAGCACATGTAACCAGGGGGAATGTAGAACTGATCAAACAGCTAATACTATGATGGAAGAAAAAAGATGTTTAATCTTGTTTTTCTCATTAATTTCTTCTATTGAAATAGGCATAGAAACAGTACAGATACATGGTGATGTTGCTTTTGCTATATTATTGGTATTGCAAAAGGAAGTCCACATCTATTTTTAAACAAAGTATACAGCCCTGATAAACATCTCACACAGCAAATATGTGGTTCCCATGTTTTTTACTAATGCCAACAGTACAGTCAAAGTACAGCTCTCAGAACTTTGTTTGTTTGCTAGGGCTTGTTGATTTTCTTCACCATATATTAATTATAAACCATAATAATGCAATAATGCCATAATGATCAGATAGCAGAATAAAATTACTAAAAATTTTTTGTACTATCTGCAAGAAAAAGTACAATAGACAATGTGTAAAACAAGCAGTTACGTGAATAAATTGCGTATACACAAAATAACAATACAATCTACTTGACCTGCCTTAAAAAAGAAACTTTTACCCACAGTTTTTAAAAAAAGTTGTGGGTAATGGACATAAACTGACTTAAGATATGAAACCAGCACTGACATATTATTGGCTTTCATGAACTTTTTTAAAATATAAAACTTATTATATTTTTATATATCACTTAATATATAAAACTATTATATCTATTATATACTATAACTATTAACAATGTTGAACTTATAGTGTTAGTAGTGCCCAATCATGCGTTTAGACACAGAACTAAAGACAGCCACTAAAAGGTAATTTAAATCTTTTAGCAGATTCTTATAAGTAAGTATAAGAAATTTACATGCATATAAAACACATATGTAATAACTAAATGAATAAATATATATGTAACAACAGTATGTTGCTTAAAACTACACAATTGTAAAAATTCCATTTGTATAGCATTTCAAACAAACGTCTGTAAGTGTATAATATATGTATAATATAAGAAAAAAACAACAAAGTTTTTAGCTATCGACGGTATAAGTGTGTTAATATTTTTTATACTAACTGCAGCTGAACTTTTTTCAGCGGATTACTCTAAATAAGCGCAATTCAATTGCCTAATTATTATTCATATGTTATAAGCGCAATTATATAGCATAATTATTATTCATATATGTTATGAGCGCAATTATATTGCATAATTATTATTCATATATGTCATAAGCGCAATTATATTGCATAATTGTTATTCATATTTGTTATAAGCGCAATTATATTTCATAATTATTATTCATATATGTTATAAGCACAATTATATTGCATAATTATTATTCATATATGTTATAAGCGCAATTACATTGCATAATTATTATTCATATATGTTATAAGCGCAATTATATTCTATAATTATTATTCATACATGTTATAGGTAATTGTAAAAAATCCACTTATGTAACTTTACGTACAGAATTGTGCGTAATATATGTACAGTATAAAAAAACTTACTAGATAAAGTTAGTGTTATGGTTTGGGGCAGTTATGGTAGGAATGCCACAGGTGACATTGTAAAAATAGAGGAAATAATAATTGATAAATTTTAGAAACTCATGCCACACCTTTAGGAAGTCAAATTGTTGGGAAGCCATTCGTTTTTTAAGAAGATAAAAAGATGGCCAGTTTCAGAATTATTATGATCACACTGCTGCTGATATCATGTAATCCAGTACTATTTGCCCTATGTCCTGCTGCCTTGTAGGGTTTTCTTTTTTAGGCAGGCTAGGAAAAAAAAAACTATGACTTAAAACTCCTCTGTCTCAGGGCTCTTGGCCAAGTAAAGGTAGAGATAGCGTTTTGATAAAAATACTCATCATGGGCAGATGTTAACTACAGCTACAAGGCTTTGTAGAAGGCTTCCTCGATAAAGACTTTAGGAATAAGCAGAATAGCTTTGTTTTACTAACCTTGCACCTCTTGTTTATCTATTAGGCTGGTGTAAATGCAAACCTGTGTTACATTGTTTTCTGCCTTAGATGATGAATGTTAAGCCTTCATTTAGGTTAGACTTTTATCCAACACTCACTGTGTTTTAGTGTTAATATAGAAATAATAGAAATGGAAATATAAGAGAAAAATAAAAGTGAATTTAGTTTAGTCGACTACTGAAAACAATCAGAATAGTTTTTTTTGAAATAAACAATCAATTAAAAAACTAGCTTTTTGTGTTCTTTTCAAAATCATGTGAAAAATCTTTGTCAAATATGAACCCTGTCAAAAGTAAATTTTAATCAACCCATTTTTGTTCAAACACAATGCATATTCTATAAATAATTTTTTTCAGACTATTTATTTATATAGTTATGTTTTTAAAGTTTTTATTCATAATTTCTTTAAAATAAAACCCAGTAGTTGTATCATTGATGTTCAGCTTTTTACGCTAGTTACCAACCTCGGCATTCTGAAAATGCAATGCAATATTGGTGTTGTTACTAATTTTAGAAACAATCTGTCCAGTTTTGAATTACCTTAAACAAAAATTCTTATATTTGAAGTGAAAGTTGTAAATCTATAAGGAAAAAAAATCAAAAAGCATAGAACTTGCTAAATATTTATCAATTCCATATACAAATCTTAAAACTACGACTCCCCATCATAATAGAATTGCTGCGTTCATGTTATTAAAGTTTTTTATATACAGAATAACTTTACCTTAAAACAATAGAGGTAATAGAACAAGCCACAACAAACATATCAACACAATTCCAAGCATCACGAAAAAATGCACCAGGATGTAGGATTAGACCATAGTTTATTATCTGAATTAATAAAAAAACAATATCTCAATATTCTAAGTACAAATTTGAACTAGAGCATTCTATGATTTAATTCTAAATATAAAAATAGTCAATAGATTTAATACTAATATTTAATAATATTTTAAATATAAAAATAGTTAAATCATTATTTTTCTTGGTTAATAATTTGTTAATAGTTTAAATCAATGAAGTAACCATAATTTCTTTTTAACAAAATAAAACTTTGAAAAATTAGGTTCTTGGCTAATTCTGCTTGAGTTATAGTTCATAGCCCATTGCGATTAGACGTTTTATCCTTGCCAATAAATAGGGCTTTTTAAAACAAAGTCTGCTCTAATGACCCAACAAGGATTATATAGTAAAATTCAACGGGATCATAAACTTGACTAAAGTAACTATACTATTTTTAAACAAGATTTATAAATAAAATATAATTATTGTACAGGCAACATTTAAAGCATTAGACTTTTATTCTTTTAGATTTTTTATTTTAAAACTTGTTGAGTAAAAAAAAATCTAATCGAAAAAATCTTTTAGATTTTTTAGCATGCTTTTTATATTAAATACATAAATAATTTTAATTAAACTTTTAGTACTAATTTTTATATATAGTCAGATGAGAACCAAGAGGACATATGTCCACATTTTGTGTTTTTTCTGTTTATTATCAATAAGTATTTAACAATCAATGGAGTATGCGTTCAATAAATCTAGTCTCAAGAATGATATAACTTTTAAAAAAATTAGTTGGACATTCTGGCAGAAAGTTTTTACAAATTAAATTTTAAAACTTAATTTTCTCAGAAACACAAAAAATGGCCTCTTGGTTCTCAGCTGACGATATCTCACGTGATTAAAAGAGCAGAAGATTTTCTTTTTATGTTTTTAGGCTGAAAAAATATCTTTCAAATATATGGTTATAATTTGTAAATTATTATTACCAATTGTATAAAAATATAAGAAAAATAAAATAAGGAAGATTGTAATGGCTAATACTAGCTATTTAACTCTTCTTATAAATAGTTTGACTTTTTTGTAAATGTTATTATATATTATGATTATTGCCTGTACAACAACTACATTTTGATAATAAACTTTTTCAAAAAATATACTGCCTGTATAATAATTGTATTTTATCTCGAATACAATTATTGTTTTAAAGCTGTAAATATTATTTTAAGTTAAAAAAATTATATTCGAATAAAACTAAAAATGAAAAGATCTAAAAAAAACTCCAGTTTTAAAGGTCATTTATTTGTGACACTTTACTAGTTAAGTGTCCCTAAAGTGACCATTATGGGACACTTAAAGTGACCTTTAAGGGCATTTAAAGTGACCTTCATGGACGCTTTATGGACACTTAAATAGTCTAAAAGCTATCCATTTTTAGAGTCCAGGGTACATTATCTTTGAACTTGGGTACATTATCTTTGAAAAAGAGTACTTATGTGTAAGAGCTTGAACAAGAATACTTATAGTGATTAAGAGCTTATGTACTCCAAGACTAAAACTGATAAGAAGCAGATTTTTATAAGAAAGTAAAATAAATTTAAATACAGATAAAATGTATATGTAATAACTAAATAAGTAAATATATATGTAATAGCAGTATGTTGCTTAGCGATAAGATATTTTGTGTAAATAGACTTAATAGACATTTACATGAAGTTGATTGACTTAAAAGTTAATTAACTTTATGTAAACAATTAAAAAAGATCTTCAAATAAAGTATTAATCTCTGTTCGGTATCAAAAACCAAAAAAAAAAGTTCGGTATCACTTTTTGATTGCCATTGGATCAGCAAAATGAAAAGTAGGTTTTAAATCTAATATAATTTTTACATTATCTCTCCATTTAGTCCATAATCTCTCATTTTTAGAGCCCTTAAATGTAAAAAACATGAATAAATAACTACTTTGGTTTTTTAAAGAAAAAGTCTTTTTTGGACTCTTGTTTTGAATTTATTTGTTTTTCTGGTTTCTGGTTTTGATACCTGTTGAAGTATTGTTATAAACAAATATTTCATATAAAATTACAACAATAAATTTGCAAGTTTTTTAGTTAAAGATAATCAAACAAAATTAATCAAAAAAGATCATTAAGATCAAAAAAAGACTCAAGTTAAAACATAGTTTAACATTCTTAAATTTAATTTAAAGATGTAAATAGCAAAAACTACACAAAAATAACTAACAGTTTTCTTCAAGTAAGTAAGACCATGGTATATTTATCTAAAGATTATTATTACTTTTTCTCAAGAATGAAAATCAGAAGTTTAATTAGAATTTTAACAAAACTTTTAATATCTCATTTAATACCTCATTTTTTAATTTGTTTTTGCTAGTTATTATTTTGTTTAAAACATTTTTTTAATATAAAACATTAGTTTTAACTTAAAAAAATATTTTAAAAAATTAATTCATTATTTGTTGTTTAACACTTTTTATTTTCTCTAATAAACAATTATGTAAAATTAATATTATCATTTTTTTGGGTCACTATGAATATAGAAAAACCAGACCAAAGATTTTGTCAACCAAAATGACATGTACTATGAACCAAATTTCAAATAAACTTTTAACATTACTTAAGTAATATTCTAATTTTTAATCCTGCATAATAGTACATTCTTTATATATTTTAATATATTTAATTATACCATTGCTAATCTATTATATTCTATAATTGTTTCAGAAAAAGCTCAAAACTAAATAATAAAATAAATTTTGATAAATAAGCAGTTGTTTTTGTTATTCTGGCTAATTTTAACTTGTTTAATAACATATTTAAGGAGAAAGATAAATGTTTTTAATTACCTTTAAAATGGCTTCTAATGTAAATATTGTCGAAAAACCATAATCAATATAGGCAAGAACCTAGAAAGAAAAAATATATATTTATAATATATGTAAATTAGTAAAAACACTTAATTTTTTTCTTCAAAAACTTGTTGCTCCATCAGTAGTGTCATCAAATTTATATACATATAAATAAAGAAATTTAAAAACATGCTATAACATGATACTTAAGCTTGGATTCATGTGAGATGAAATAATATTGGTAAATAAACTTAATATTTATTTGGTTATTTAAACTTTTTTTATGTTTATATAAAAACTCTATTTTCCAATACCATTGCAAGTGAACGGTTTCTTCATTCATACAGTTTCAATTTTTTGTTTTGAAATCTAATCATAAACAACACAATAAAAATAAATAATAAAATTAAAAAATTTGACTTTAAAACTGAAGTTTTGGAATAAATTTTTAGGAAATAGTCAAAAAATTTTTAGAATAATTTCCAGTCTTCATCAATCTGGATTTCTTAACATGAAAAAATTTTAGTAAAAAGTTAAGTTAGCATTATGGGTTCAATGTAAAAATAATTTTTAGTTTTTTTCATAGGGTCACTTTACAGAAAACCACAAATAATTTTCAACTTGTGTGTTGGTTCTCTTTGAATACATTTTGCAAAATGTTTCTCGATATTAAAGTAATATAATTTTTTTTAAAAAAAAGTTTGTAGTTACGTCAATTATTATCAATAAAACATGGTTACGTCAATTATTATCAATAAAACATGGTTACGTCAATTATTACCAATAAAACATGGTTAAGTCAATTATTATCAATAAAACATGGTTATGTCAATTATTATCAATAAAACATGGTTACGTCAATTATTATCAATAAAACATGGTTACGTCAATTATTATCAATAAAACATGGTTATGTCAATTATTAGTAATAAAAACATAGTTGAGAGAGTGTCAATTATTGTTAAAAACTTGTGTTTAAAATTTTATTTTTCTCATATTGAGCTAACACTTGTTAACTAATCAATAGTCAGGAAATTTTAGTTGGTCTCAAATAAGAATAATTTTAGTTGGTCTCAAATTTTATAATTTTTAGTCAAGCATTAGTTTAGCCATGAAAACCCATTAAATGTCCTGGATGCATCAATTTCATTTAAAAAATCAAGTATTAAGTTAAAAAAGCAATTTCTTATTGTTATTATATTTTTTAAGTAAAATTAGAAAAAAATGTTAAACATTTTATTTATCCAATACTGAAATATTAGTATTGGCACAAGCCTTTACCAGTATTTCTATAAAAAAAATCAGGTTATACCAGTTTTTTGTTATTACTAAAATTTGGATGCACTAATTAGATTAATTAATCCTGATAAATGATTATCAGAAAAATGATTTGAATGATTGTTAAAGTACTTTGATGCTTATGATTTACTTAAAGATAAAGCATCAAAGATTTTATAAGCATGTTACAAGAAACATGCTTATAATTTTTATATTTAAAAATTAAAAGCATGCTTGTGAATTTTTTCTTGTAAGTTTTTCATAGTTATCAGATTTTTGGTTACTCAAAAGTTTTTTACTAATACAAATGAAAGCTATTTAATATTAATTCAATATCATTCTTTGATGGATCCAAATTGAAATCTCTAATTAACTGTCAAATTTGGTGCTTATTAAAAGCGTCGGCTTGTAATTTCATATTGCTTAAATTTGGAAATATTTAGTAAATGCAATGAAATTAAAAACGTACCCTTTACCACTTACTTATCTTTTACTTTTAAAAGTGTATAAGAACATTTGTGATTGTAAATGGTTGTGCAGAATGCTAAATTAAGTTATTTCAAGACTTCATTAAGAGGGCATGCAATGAAGATAGGCCTCAGGATAATCTCAAAAGTAAGTTGTCATATAATACAATATATAAATGACACTTTTTAGTATTTATTACTAATAAATGTAGTGTATGTGTAAAAGATAATTTTATAAACTAATGTATCAATATTTAAGGAAATTCAGAGTAACCAATAAAATATATGGCTACAAAGTAAAAATAATTAAAACTATATAGTTTATTAATATTGTTTTATATTTAAATTATTCTTATTTGTTATATTTATGTTGAAAATGTTAAATTCTCCTAACTTGTTATTATTATTTTTCATCACAATATGATTAATTTACCTAAAATACCTATTTGAGGTTAACACCTTGACATATTTTTTATTATTAATGAAAATGATGCAAAATGTATCATTTTGTTGCATTTAAGAACGAATTACTTTTTAAAAAACAAACAAAAAACTAAGATGAGTTTGAGTTTGATATATTCAGTAATCAAATTTATACATTTAAACCGCAATAATGCCGTAAAAATAATTAAAAAATATATACATATACATATGTATATATTTAAATGTTAAATTATTAATTTGATGAAGAGACTTTTCCAGGAGTCTCTATGCTGATTTAACAGTTTATTGAAATTCGATCTTTGCATTTAAATTTAATGCATTTAAAGATGGAGCGTTTACCGCGTGCTGTGTGAGAGAGTTCCAATGGCCGCAACTTGGTTTGTGAAAAAGTTTGATTTCTCCTCACATCCTCTTACGAATTGACAATCAAGCTGCTTGTCATGATCGCGTAGGTTGTACACATCACGCCCAATTAGTTAGTGCTGTGGGACCATAAAATGAACTTCATCATAGTTGTTGAAAATTTTGAATTGTTCGATTATATCACCAAGCAAACGAGATTCTTTGAGGGTGGTTAGTTTGAGTACTTGCAGACGCTTTATTTTATCAAAATGGCTGATAGATGATATTGTCTTAGTGACACGGTCTGGAACATCCTCAAGCAACTTAATGTCTGTTTCAAGATACGAGGACCAGGCTTGAATGGGGAATTCTAGATGTGGCCGGACATAAGATATATAGAGTGTGCGCCACAAGGTTAAGTTTCTACTGTGGAAAGCATTTTTTAGCTTTCCTAACATGCGATTGGCTGTTGATGCTGCTTTTTCAACTTGTGCTCTGATTTCAGATCGTTTGATATGAGAACTCCAAGGTCACGTTCAATAGTCATCAGCGGTTTCCATAGAGTCGTCATGTGATAAACGTTTATTAGGAGGACCTGCATGCATCACTTTACATTTATCAATGTTAAAGTGCATGAGCCAAGTGTTTGACCATGTAACCACGTTATCAATATCTGCCTGAAGCGTTGTGTTATCCAATGCCGACTTTATGATCCCAATAATTTTTCTGTCATCAGTGTATAGCATTATCTTATGAACAATACTATCAGAAAGATTGTTTATAAAAAAAATAAAAAGCAGTGGCCCCAAGACAGAACCTTTCGGAACTCCACTTGTGATGTTCTTCCACTCAGAAATGTGTTCTCCCAAGGCAACAAGTGGCTTATGATCTTTTAGCCGCATTTTAATCTAAAGTAGCAGCTTTTTGTGAATGCTGTATGTTTTTAGTTTATGTAGAAGTGGTTTGTATGGAACTTTATTGAATGCCTTAACAAAATCTGTGTAGATAATATCAGCACTGTAACCTTGATGCATAGCCTTGGTAAGTATGTTGCAAGCTTCGAGGAGGTTAGTCAGACATCCCTTTTTATGAATAAAACCATGCTGATGCTTGGAGATAAGATTGTTTTCCACACAGTGTGCCATAATATGTTTGTAAATTATTTTTTCCATTACTTTGCACGGTATTGAGGTGAGGTAGACCGGTCAATAATTGTAGGCCTTAAGCTTGCTCCTTTTCTTAAAGATGGAAGTAATGTTTGATTTCCATTATTCAGGTACAAAGCCAGACAATAAAGATTGTTTAAAAATAGAGTTTAGTGGTATATATATATATATATATATATATATATATATATATATATATATATATATATATATATATATATATATATATATATATATATATATATATATATATATATATATATATATATATATATATACATATGTATACAAAATTCTATTAAAGTTTTATTTAGTTTTGGCACAATATAAAGTAAAGTAATATCATATTGCAATAAAAGTGACAAAATATTGTAAATAGTTCAGCGTCTTCAACTTAGGCAAATTAGATTAAAACAGTAATACTTTGTACTCTTTGTACTTGAGAATAGCCTTGATTTGCCTTGAAATAAAATGCACTAGGTTCTGATTTGTGGTAACATAAATTGTGACAAGCAGCCTACAAATGTTGCCACAAGTCATCCAGATTTAAAAGTTAGGTTCTATATACCATTCTAAGAGATTTTAATCAGGATTTTGTGGAGGCCATTCAATGGTGTTTATACATGCACATTTTATGTATTACATAACTTTTTCAGCCTTATGGCATGGAGCATTATCCTGTTGAAAAAACTCATTTTTTCTAAAAAGATTGTTTGCTGATGATTTTTAGTTATGATTTTAATATTTCTACATACTTCTTTTGGTTCAACATGTCTGTACAATTAAATAAATGATCAACACCAAATCCTGACATCTAATTTCATACCATAAAAATGCCTTTCCATTTTTGACTTTGAGAGCCTCATATTGAAAATTAAATCTTTCTCTTATTCGCCTCTACAAAGGAGGTAAAAGTAAGTACAAAAGAGTACAAAGTGAAAGGAGTACAAAGGAGTTCAACATAATAACTAAACACATACAAAAAGAGATTATAAATTTAATAAAGCATATCTGTATAATATATATATAATATACTTTTTACACAGATGTTATTTGACATCAATGAAATTTCAGATATTGTTGAACAAATGTTATTATACCTCAGCGTATTTACAGATGTTGAACAGATGTTGTAGTACATCATTATAATTTTATGTCACTATTGTTAGTCTACATATAAATGTAAATACTTAAATATGGTAGTGGTGTAGTGGTAGTGCATTCACCTCATAAACAAGAGGTTTCAAGTTCAATCCCCAACACGACCTTGGTAGTGCTGCCCTCAACTTGTTTCTCTGCCCAGTGACCTTATTTTTCAAGGTTCATCTTTCAAAGTTTTAGAGAGGTTTATAACCACAAC